TGTAGGGGCCCACCAAAGTCACCTCATTAGCATAAACTCAGGTTTATTATTAATAATAAATGACATTTCTCTCCTATGTCTCAGGAAATTCCAAGAGTTTTAGAATTTCTGTGCCAGGACCTGGAATGAAGAACAATTACATATTTCTTATTATGTCACGATACGCATTGTGCCTGCCATGGTGTGTTGCATGTATTTGAGATGATTTTTTTTTAATTTTTATTTATTTATGATAGTCACACACACACAGAGAGAGAGAGAGGCAGAGACACAGGCAGAGGGAGAAGCAGGCTCCATGCACTGGGAGCCCGACGTGGGATTCGATCCCAGGTCTCCAGGATCGCGCCCTGGGCCAAAGGCAGGTGCCAAACCACTGCGCCACCCAGGGATCCCTATTTGAGATGATTTAATTGAATATGGAGCTCATTACTTTGTATGGTAGCAGAATTTAGCTGCCATGTATTAGCAGATTCAGTTGCTGCATGATTCTTCATATTGAACTAACCTCTACTTCACTGTGGTGTTCACCCATAGTTTTGTTCTCTAGAGCAGGACACCAGTCTGCTTAACCTTCTGAAAGATTGCCTTTCAGATAAAAGTGTTGTATGGAAACCAGCTCTATCACTAGCTTACTTCTGGAGTACATCAACTTGAAAACAGGTAGCCAAGCTGAGGATAATGTAATTATTCTCTACAACCCCAAAATTGTGGAGTTAAAGCCTCCTGGTGCTAATACACCACTTTCACTGTTGTTCTATTTCTACTTTTCCCCTGGAAACCTGTATCAGTTTATAGAAATAATCTTTTGGGAGCATTCCTGTCTACTCTTCCGTCTTCCTGGTATCCAGCTAAGTTAAGAGCGTCATTGTGAATATTCCATTTGGCAAGCTATTTGTAATACATTTGCTTGTAACTAAACAGTTAAACCTAAAGCAAACAGAATGCTGTGCTTTGATATATAGAGCCCTTTTATGTTTTTTGATTTGACATCTTATGAGACCATAGAATAAAAAGTGTTTACTCTCTGAAGGCAGATAATTTCCAGGCAATGAGAGAACAGATTTATATCTCCCATGTGATTGTGCCCATTAATATTTGTAAGCTTTACAAATATCATTGGTTCCTGATGGCATCCCTGAGCTGCTCCAGAATTTAGATGGTGTGAAGGTCCATACAATTTGTGGTACTGATGTCATCGTAATCCATTCTGATGCATAGTCAGGCCAGGGAACCACTGGCTAAAGAAGGTGATAATGGGGTTGACTAGAGCAGGAGGATGCTTTTTCTGAGAAATATTAAGAGTTAATATGATGAGTAGGGCCAAATCATATGAGGTAAGACCAGGCTGAAGAGTTCAAAGTTGAAGCAGTAGGCAGTAGAGAATGTGTCACTGGGTTAGTCAACAGATGTGTTACAATCAGGATTCTAAGCAGGGTATGCAGGAAGGAAAGGCAGCAATAAGAACCAAGCTAGGAGACAGTTAAAGAGAACTGTGAAACCATAACATCACTATGAGAGTCTTACAGGGGAGTAGGCATTTTGTTAGGGCTGCTTTGTCTAAGATGTGAATTAGTAAACTGATGATCTGAGGTTCAACTAAAGAATACTTTATGTGCAAAGAGTATCAAAAAATAAGAGACCTGGGGCACCTGGCTCTCTCAGTCAGTAGAGCATATGACACTTGATCCTCAGGGTTTTGAGTTTGTGTCCCGTGTTGGATGTAGAGTTTACTTAAAAAAATAAAGTCTTAAAAAAAAGAGAGAGAGAGAGACCTACTTTCCAAATTGTATAATTTGGGGTTGTACTTCTGGCCTATGCAATTAATCTAGCATTTTATTTCTGAAAGAGAGGGGTACTATAAGAAATGATAATATATAGAAGTCATAGTTATCTTTCTTTGACTAGCTTTAAATAACCTAATTTTACCTAGTTATAAATTTATGCGTCAAAAATCCCTTTTAAACCATGAGAGACTCTTAACTCTGAGAAGTAGAGTTAGAGAAGGAGTGGTGGGTGGGGGATGGGATTACTGGGTGATGGGCATTAAGAAGGACTGCGATGAGCACTGTGATGAGCTCTGAGTGTTATATGTTGGCAAATTGAATTTAAATAAAATATTTTTTAAAAAAGAAAAATATCTCTTTTAAATCTGTATTTTCCAATTGCACTACTCATAGGACTAATACCTTTCAGGGTTCTATTTCACTCTGTGGTATTGTCAGAGATTCTGACATGGCGAAGTGATTAAAAATACAGGCTCTGGAATGAGACCAGCTGTATTAAAATCCCAGCTTGGCCACATACTAACTGTATGACATTGGGATTTAAACCCCCTTTTCCCTAGTTTCCTCATCTATAAAATGAAAATATGATAGTACTTACCATAAAATAGATTGCTAGGATTAATAGTTGGGGTGCCTGGGTGGCTTAGTTGGTTAAGAGTCCAACTGTTGATCTCAGCTCAAGTCCTGATCTCAGGGTTGTGAGTTCAAGCCCCATGTAGCCTACTTAAAAAAAAGAAAAGAAAAGAAAAGAAAAGGATTAACAGAGATTATGCCTGGTTCAAAGTAACCACTCAAATTTTAGGTATTAGTAATAAAAATAGTATTTGCTTTTTTAAAAAAAACACCACTCTTGGAGCAGCATAAAGGATAGAATTAGGGACGGCAAGAATAGGTATAGGGAGATGAGTTAAGAGGCCATCACAATAAATCAGACAAGAAGTGATGCTAGCTTGAGCAGGTATGGAATGTCAGTATAAATAAATTTGATGGGGCCTCTGGATGGCTCAGTCAGTTAAACATCTGACTCTTGATTTTAGCTCAGGTTGTGATCTCAGGATTATGAGATCAAGTCCTACATTAGATCTGCCCTGAGCATGGAGCCTGCTTAAGGTTCTTCTCTCCCCTCCTCCCTCTGCCCCTCCCTCCACCCCATTCACATGTGCTTTCTCTCTCTCTCTCAAAAATAAAAAATAAAAAAAATAAAAAAGTAGATAGATTTGAGTGATATTTAGAAAGTAAAATTGACAGAAAACTTCATAATGGAGTGAATAAAAGGTCATTGAGAGAGAACAATAGATGTTTTCTTAAGTTTCTGGCCTAGGCAGCTGGATGAATGGAGACCCAATTTGGGTGGGGCATGGAGGATGGGGTTGGGAGAGATTTTCATGATTTTAGTTTGGGATGTTGAGTATTTAAATTGCAAGGTGAATTTAGTCCTCTGCATTTTTAAGAAGCTGCTGAATGTCTGGAATGTATACTACAGTTTAAGACTATTGGTATGAAGATTAAAAAAATAGGCAACTGTTGATGTAAACATTCAGTTGAGTATTTGATCTGAAGTTCGGAAGAGTTGGGATTGAGTATATATAAATTTAGAGGTGGTCTGCATACAGAAGGTAAATGAAACCACAGGTGAGGATGACCATGCGTAGAGCCAGAAGAGAAGGAAACCTAAAATTGACCAAGAAAATTCCAAGATTTAAAAGCCAGGAAGAGGAAAACGAGCATGTATGCAGTGGTAAGTGTAAGAAAGAAAATGAGGCAGTGATAAGGTATAGAAAACAAAGGAGAGAATGGTCATGGAAAATGAGCACTATAATTTAGTATAATGGGAGAGAACAAAGAAGGGAATGGATGTGGATATAGAGGGGAAAAAATACTATTGCATTGTGTGATAACCCATTGTGTGATAGGGCAGTTTAGATTACCTGGAGTCCTGTGTTAGCTGCTCTGGGGAAGTGATGGAGGTTTGGGCAAGAGGCCCCATTCCTATCCAGCCTGCTATTGGGCCAACCCAGCAATTTGCTTGACTGATGTTCCCTTTGGTCACTAACCCTTTGGCCTCAGTAATGCTATCCAACCCTTCCCTTCTTGGGAGTGAGATCTGAGTCCAAATACCCCAGTGCAGTACATCAGCTTCATTTGAATATCTTGCCTGGATTTCTTTTACTTTTTCTCCAGGCAAGGAAACCAAAACGGTTATAGTCCTGAACTTTAGTAACCACGTAGATTTACTATGTTTTACTTTAGAAATCTAATCTATAATTTTCATTTTTGACAACTGAGTTCTTTAATGTACGTCAATTATAAGTCTGTTTTATCAGAAATTTGTTAAGCTCATATTGTGGGCCAGGCACCGTTCTAGGTACTTGTTACAATGGATTAAATAAGATATGGCCTTAAGGAGCTGGGAGAGACTACTATCAATACACATAGCCCTGACTTTTTTTCTCTTGATAAATGCATAGACTTTAGAATATCTATATCTGAATCCAATTTCTTTTTACAAAAAAAGGCAGCCAAATTACTATCTCTGTTTGAGAATATCAGGAAAGGGATCTTTATATATTATACAGCTCAGATGGTCCCTTTTCCTTAAGCTCTATTATTTTTTCATGTTGCTTCTATAATTAAAATGCAGAATTTTCCTCTCCTGAAGGTAGAGTGTTTTTATTGTATATCAAGTGGTTTTAGCCTGGGTTTTGTAGATCTCAGTATATCTAGGAATTGGTGGTTTTGTGGGTTCATGAACCTTCCCAAATTATATGCAAAATTAAAAGTGTACTTGGATTCTTAGAGTAGAAAGAGTTCTTAATTTTTCTAAACTCTCAATTCAATCACACCAAAATATTAAAATCTTCATATAATAGGTTTTGTCCTATGACTATTTTATACTGTTTAGTATATAGATTTTCTCACAAGAGGAAAGGGAAATTGAAATGTAATATTTCATAATTATACTTCTTAAGATTATTTATAGTCTTTAAAAAGATTTTATTTATTCATTTGAGAGGAGGACCCTGGGATCATGACCTGAGCCGAAGGCAGCTGTTTAACCAACTGAGCCACCCAGGTGCCCCTATTTATACAATTTTTAAATTTTAATACAATTTTTGAAATTGACACTTAAACATTAGAATTTCTTTTTACATTATCTAACAGTATTATAACCATGCTACAGTTTTTGTTGCAAATATATTTTTTGTTTGTCTTTAGTACCAGGGCCCTCTGGTGATAATGGCATCAGTATTACCATGATCTTGATGGCCTGGATGGTTATTGCAGTGATCTTGTTTCTACTGAGACCTCCTAATCTAAGAGGATCCAACCTAACTGGCAAGCCAACCAGTCCTCATAATGTAAGTGTTATGGATTAGAAATTCATTTGGGTAAGGGATGGGTGTGGCCTGGGAATGAGATGAGTTTGTTTTGACCGAAATACCAGAATTAGCAAAAGGAAGATTTAACTCAGAATAAGTTCTTCCAGGGCAGTCCTCATAAATCTTGCCACTCCAAATGGCTTAATCTTCATGGAGTTACATACAGAGAAAAGCACAGACCAGTAGCCCAAAAAGAATTTTAAAATAAATTCCAATCTTCACCTGCATTCTGGTCTTTCTTAATATAAAAAAGGATCCAGTTCATAATAATACACAGCAGTATTTCTCAAATATCAGCGTTCTACTCCTCAGTTCCTCACAGTTGACCCCCTCCTTCTCGTGGTTCCAGCTCCCTTAATTCTCTTATCAGCTACAGTTCAAGCGTTTTTCCCTCTACTTTGGTTTCTCACCTTCTGTTCTAGCTATTAAATGCAAGAGGCGGTGAGCCTATCTGGTGAAATCCTGTTTCCCCATCCAGTTTCTCTTAGGCTCTTCCAGTTCTGTAGCATAATAGATCAACTGAACTGACAAAGGAGAAGTAGGATGATTCATGTTGGTAAATCTTGATTGTCATGATTACTACCATTTTTAGAACCTTCTAGATAAAAAATATGATAAATAAAGCGACCCAATAGGGAGTTTTTGGTGCTGACTTTAACAGAAACTTCATTGAAGGATTCATTTTAATCGTTTTGAGAACCAGTATCTATATTTTTTTTCCTTTTCTATTTTTTTAAAAGATTGATTGATTGATTGATTGATTGATTGATTTATGAGGGAGGGGGCAGAGACTCAGGCAGAGGGAGAAGCAGGCTCCATGCCTGGAGCCTGATGTGGGACTTGATCCCGGGACTCCAGGATCTCGCCCTGGGCCAAAGGCAGGCGCCAAACCACTGAGCCACCCAGGGATCCCCCTCTTTTTCTATTTGACTTGGATATTACCTCTTTAAAGGTATTTATTTACATGACGAGTTCACTTGTTGAACACCAAATTATCCCACTAGTTCCCTTCTCCAACCTTCATGTGGAATTCCTAAAAGAATTTCTTTTCCATGATCTTGTTTTGTTAATAATTAGAAGTTAAACTAATTTCTTATGTAGGAGAAAGCAGATGTGGATTGATAATTGCCCAGTGTTTTTGTTTTTTGTTTTTTAGGAATAAAACATTTAGATATGTAGCCATGCTGACTTTAAGAAAGAAGGCATCATTAGCATGATATAAAAAGCCTAAATTTATTTTTTGTTTCTCTTGAAGAAAAGGTATCCATAAACAGCTTGTATATTATCTTGATGAGATGCTTTCTCATCAATCTTTTTTCTTACTTTCTACATACAGTTTCATTACTTTAATATCAAAGAGAAACTTCCTCAACATTTGGAGCTAAAGAAATCCAACTTAATAAGCTGGCCTAGAAGCCATTAAAAGTAACAGAAATTTAAGATGACAGCCCCTAAACCTTATTTCATTGTAGGCCAGCAGTTCTAGGACAGTAGGGCCATTGCCCTAAGAATAAGCAAGAAAACATACTAATTTCAAGCAGAAAAATTGACCACTCTCAACTGGGACCTCATATAGCATGTCAGAGTAAAATAAATAAATGAAATCTTCCTGAAGATTCCTAAAAGCTCTGATCTTTCCTTTCCAGTTCAAATACTTCCTCTTGCAAATAAAAAAGATCAGCTCCGCCTGGTTTAAACAAGTGGCTTTATTGGTTTTCACATCAGAAAATCCAGAGAGGTAGGGTCAGTGTTTAGATTGCTTAACAGTATCCTCAAAAACCTACTTTTTTTTCTTCCTATCATCAGCTTCATTTCAAAGTGGGTTCCCTTTGTGGTCATAGAATGCTTGTCAGTAGCAGCTGGAGCCACATGCTTTCCTCATTGACATTCTGTAGTAAGAAGCAAAAGTCTCTGCCTTCACTTTGATTATAGTGTGTGCCCAGTCACCTTAAGCAGGAAAGATGCTTTGTTGGTTTAAATGTCACCTGTGGTGCTGTGAGGGAGAGCAGTTTCTTCCAAGTCCTATTACTTCTGTGCTACAGGGAGGAATGAGACAACCATTGGTGAATTATAGTATTAATCTAAGTTCCTCGTACAAAAACATGAAAAGTCCCAATAGGTATATGATTAGAGATTGGAGGGTGGGGGCATGCTGCTCAGTTCTTACTGTGTGTGTTAGATTGGTTGCACTGGGATTCAAGAAATCAGTTCCATAATTTCTGTCTTTCTAATGCCAGGGACAAGATCCACCAGCCCCTCCTGTGGACTAACTTTGTGATACGGGAAGTGAAAATAGTTAACACCTTGCACGACCAAATGAACGAAGATGACCAGAGTACTCTTAACCCCATTAGACTGTTTTTCCTTTTGCATCTGCAATATATGGGATGGTATTGTTTCCATGAGCTTCTAGAAATTTCACTTGCAAGCTTATTTTTGCTTCCTGTGTTGTCACCATTCCTTTTTACAGTATATTTGAGTAAATAATTATATTAAAAAAGTTACATGGGCTTTTTTGGTTATCCTAAACTTAAACATTCCACTCATTCTATTTGTAACTGTGATCATAATTTTTTGTGATGATGTCTGGCCTGATTGAAGGAAATTTGAGATCTCTGCCTTTAAATATTTTAAATAGTTTTGATAGGTTTTAAAATTGCTTTTTTTCATAAGGTATTTATAAAGTTACTTGGGGTTGTCTGAGATTGTATGAAAAAAAAATTAGAACCACACTGTATTTACATTTACCTTGATAGTTTATTTGTGGGTGGCAGTTTTTTCTAGTTCTTAGGACTGTGGCAGCCTTTGGAATATTTTACAAATCTGTGTCATCCACTACAATTGGCTTATGTGGCTAGGAAAGGAGAGGAAAAGAAATGAAATAGTTGTTTACTAAGTTTTCTATTCCCACAAAAATGTCTAATATTAGGAGAACTTTAAATAAACGTGATTTAAATATGGTGAATGATTTACAGTCCATTATAGCCTTACAAGGTTTGCAAAAGGAGGGAAAAAGTTAATTCTTTTAGCCTTTGCCAGGTATATTCTATACAGTAATAATTTAAGCTATAATTTATTTGTTAAATGGGTGCCTCTCAGGAACCTTCTTTTCCGTTCTAACACTTCCCTGTTAAATGGAACTATCTTAAAGCTGTAATGGGGGCCTATTTCGTTACTGACATTTGAATGCTATTTACTTATTTAGTCTGGTTTTTTTTTTTTCTGTGAAGAAAAAATCGAGTCTTTTGTTATCCTTCTGACTTAGAAAATATTTGATGAATTCTTGGTTTACTCCAAGGGAAAAGGAGGAAAATGAAAATGCAATCAAGGATCTTTTTCTCACCCCTTATCTCATTCTTCTTTAGTAATAAGATGGATTGGGGTGGGGAGCTCCATTAATAAAAGTAAAATTTTGAAATGTATAAAAAGTAAAAGGTTGCATTGTTTTGCTCACTTTGAAAGAAAGTGAATACACATGGCATAAGAAGTCTGCATGACCTATGTGGTTATGGAATTTTTTTCTTAGCAAGTGATTACAGATGGTTTATGGGGACTAGAAGATATTTTGCTATCAGTGTAAGGATTTTCCCCCCAGATCAGTCTAGCTTTTCACTGTATCGATCTGAGAAATTACTTGTATGAACTAATAAACTTCTCTATATCATTGTACTGTTTTAATAGAGTCTCCGATACAATTGTGTGATGCTCTTAGGGTATTTTTTCCCCTTTATTATGATTACATTTTAGGCCATACACTTTTTAAGGGCTTCATTTCATTATATAATCCAATATTGACTGCTTGCATTCCTTCTGTGCATCTTAGCTTTGTGCTCAACTTCTTGACGTAATATAACCTACTCTTAATTAGTTGTGCTAATTGAGAGATATAACAAGGTAAGTGAAAACTTGGATAAATGAGCACCATAGATTTAAGGTTCTTTGTCTTGCTGTGGCCTACTGGAAGCCTTCCCAGCTTTATAGCTATTCTAGTATTTAATGCAGAAAGGGCAGGCATGGCATTTGAAGGGCAGCTAAATCTCCGTAAGCATTCCTTTTTCTGCCCTTGCCCCCAGGACTTTGAAGGCTTGCACATATATCCTAATACTCTGTTGTCTAAGCTGCTAGAAAGCCAGTCTCTGGCAGAGATACTGATGCATTCACTGAATCTGTGGCTCACAAATAATTGAGAACTGGCTTTGGTTGAAACCAGTTGGCCTTGACATGGAAACAGAATGTCTAGTGTTAGCTAGAGACCTACAAATCTAGATTCTTATTCCTGGTTCTTCATTTCTGTCACATACACTAAATTGACAGTACATCTCTAGTGTATTAACCTTTTCTATATGGACCATCTAATTAGCAACAAAAGTTCCTAGAGAAATACTTAGTTTTGGGATTTTTGCTTGTAAAATTTCTCTGCATTCCTGAGAAAGACTGAGTACTACTGCATATAAAGTATTCTTGGTAATCTAACTAGTAACTTATATTATTCTATTTAATTCTTAAAGCTTCTACATGTGGCCTTTTTATTTAGCACATTCATATTCATTACTTGGCTTGTAAACATTCACCTGAACTGTGGCTATAATCATTTTTAAATCTGGAAAAAAGAAAGATAAAGCTTCATATTTTAATCACTTTTGGCTCTTAAATATTCCACAAATAATATTACGTTTATATTGTTTTAGAGTCATTTAATGTCCCTTATACAAAGTGTTTTCTTGCTTTCCATATGGAAAAAGTTAACATTGAAACTGTGTATAGTAAAAGATTTTATCACGTATCTATCTAAGCACTATCCCATGGCCAGCAAGTCATTTTTTAAATAACTTGCAGAGATTTTCCAAAGTAAGTATTAGGTTCAGCTATTCCCTGGTTACTTTTAGTGTCATTGTGGTATGTGATGTGATAGTGTTTATAGAATTACTGATTTCTCATATTTTCAAAGGAACCTTGGAAATTGATCACTCTGAATTTGTCACTCTAAATAAATATGTGCTAAAATTTGACCAGCTCATTAGCTTAAGACATAAAACAGCAACTTGAAGGAGAAATGAAGAGTTTACACATAATGGGTTAAATTTTTGTTGTTGTAATAGTAGATTTAGTCTTAACATAATATTTCTAAAGGAAAAATCAGATGTATTTGTTGCCATGTCTTATAACTTTGTTAAAGGCGAAAGTGGTCATGTGATGTACTGAATATTAATTGCTGTTTTTAAATGTTTAAATCATGCCAAACAAATCATGTCTGTGCCATCCAGGGTTTATTGTAATCTTTTACTGAGTACTTGGACTGGGATAAAGGGCTTGTACTATGCACTTTTTATTAATGAATAAATAGAAAACATTAGTAATGTATTGTTTTGTTTCGCTTTTGTGGGAAATGAAGCAAGCATCTTTTGCTTAGTAAAATGCTTACATCCCTTATTAAACAGTTTCTTTGTAAGACTTTTTACCCCTAACTAAAAACATTCCATAGAGAGAACTTTAAGTTACAAGAAGAATATTTATGTAATAGCAATGGGGCCAATATTCAGAAGTAGGGATTCTGAGAATCTCTAGGAACTTAGATTGCAATTATGTTTCTTTAGTTCTTTTTTTTTATTTCTTCCTAGAATACAGGATTAATGGACATTTGCTTTGAGAGAATAATATCTAATAGTGTTAAGACATGTAACTACTGAACACACACAAAAGTAAAAACTTTGCTTTTGTTCTGTGACCTGGAATGCACCCAGATACTAAAGATCATATACATGTAAAAATGGTAAAATTGCTCTGGCATGGTTATGATGTCAGTGTCTATGTGATACATAAGTATTCTTTAGCAAAATTTGTGAAATACATAATTTACTGGAAATAATTAATGATTTTAGGCTAAAGTTTTTCATTTATATGTCAATAGATATCTGAACTCCCATAAAACTAAGTTTTCATTAAATGTTTTTGCAATATTAGTTTTCCTCTCAGAAAGAATTCTAATAAAGTTGTTTTTTTTTTTTTTGCTTCCTGCCATTTCATTTGATAGTTGTCTCAGTTCCAAATCTGTTTATAGAGTTGATTTTTCTCCCCACTAAAAAGTTCATAAACACTACCTGTGATTATGTGATGCTCAGATTTTTAGAAACTGGAGTTATCAATGTGATCTTTTCCCCTGGGGAACTTAACTTTGCATACATATCTTTTCTCAAACAAATGGGCTATGTTGGTTCAATAAACATTTCAACAGTGTTTGTATTTACTTTTTGCTTAACTATTTCTGCTTTAGAATGGGTGTTAATCAGAATTATTATACAGAAAATATTTTTTAACATATTATTTATTTGAGAGAGAGCAGGAGCAGGATTAAGGGCAGAGGGAGAGGAAGAGGGACAAGCAGACTCCCTGCTGAGTGAAGAATCAGGTGCACTCAGGTGCCCCTACAGAAAACATTTTCAACCATCAGATGCCAAACTAAGATGTCTCTTGAAAAGGAGGTGGGAGGAGATGTTTGGGAAGCAGGGAATATGTAGAGATGAAAAATAGTATGTGTAGCTTTATTTTATTTTTTTATATGAAAATTATTTTTGTAGTTTTAAAAATAATTTTCATATCAAAAAAGAATATTCCCAGGGCACCTGGGTGGCTCAGTCAAGTTGGGCATCCAACTCTTGATTTGGGCTCAGGTCATGATCTCAAGGTTGTGGGGATTAAGCCATGCGTTGGGCTCCTCACTTAGTGGGGAGTCTGCTTGGGATTCTCTCTCTTTCCTTCTCCCTCTGCCCCTCCCCCTACTCTCCCTCTAAAATAAATAAGTCTGGGCAGCCCCGGTGCCACAGCAGTTTAGCGCCACCTGCAGCCCAGGGCGTGATCCTGGAGACCTGGGATCAAGTCCCGCGTTGGGCTCCCTGCATGGAGCCTGCTTTTCCCTCTGCCTGTGTCTCTGCCCCTCCCCTCCCCTGTCGCTCATAAATAAATAAAATCTTTAAAAAAATAAAATGAGGGGATCCCTGGGTGGCGCAGTGGTTTGCGCCTGCCTTTGGCCCAGGGTGCAATCCTGGAGACCCGGGATCGAATCCCACGTCGGACTCCTGGTGCATGGAGCCTGCTTCTCCCTCTGCCTGTGTCTCTGCCTCTCTCTCTCTCTCTCTCTCTCTCTCTCTGTGACTATCATAAATTAAAAAAATAATAATAAAATAAAATAAGTCTTAAAGCAAGGGGCGGGGGTTGGATGGCTAAATCAGTTAAACATCAGTCTTTGGTTCAGGTTATGATCCCAGGGTCCTGTTTAGCAGGGAGCTTGCTTCTCCTTCTCCTGTTCCCTCTGCTTATGCTCTGTCAAATAAATAAAATCTAAAGAAAAAGAAAAGCATATTTCCTTGTACAAAACTGCTTCTTTCTAGGAAATATGGGAATGAGAAAAAAATACTTATAATCCCTGTAATACCAGAGGCCTTACTTTAAAATATCTGGTTCCTATACTGCTCATAAGCTCAAACAGGCTATGTGTTCATGATGAATGGATTTGAATTGCATTGTTTTTATTTATTTTGAAGAACTGAGCAGAATTAAAGAGCACGAGGGACTCCTGGGTGGCTCAGCAGGTGAGCACCTGCCCCTGGCTCAGGGCGTGATCCTCAGTCTCAGGATCAAGTCCCCACATCAGGCCCCCTGCCTAGAGCCTGCCTCTCCCTCTGCCTACGTCTCTGCCTTTCTCTCTCTGTGTCTTTCATGAATAAATGAATAAAATCCTTAAAAAAAAAAAAGAAACATGAATACTACATAGCAGATTCAGCATCATGGAATAAGTCTTCTATGTTGTTTTTATTTTATTTTTAATCGCGATAATTAACATTTTTTATACAAAGAGCCATCTCAAGTACCATACACATTTAAAAATTTTTTTTTGAAACATTTTATTTGACAGAGCAGAAGCAGGGGGTGTGGCAGGCAGAGGGAGAAGGAGGAGCAGATGCCCCTCAGATTAGGGAGCCTGCTGTGAAGCTCTGTCCCAGGACCCTGAGATCATGACCAACCCGAAGGCAGACACTGAGCTGAGCTACCCAGACACTCCCCATGTTGTTTTTAAAGAAATGAATCTGTTGGGGTGCCTGGGTGGCTCAGTCATTTGAGTGTCCAACTCTTGATTTTGGCTCAGATCATGATTTTGGGATTGTGAGATCCAGCCCCATGGGGCTCCTCCATGCTGGGCATGGAGCCAGTTTAGGATTCTCTTTCTCCCTCAGCCTCCCCAACCCATCCCCCCACCAATAAATAAATAAATACATAAATATCTTTTAAAAAAATGAATCTGTTATATAGTCACTCATTAATTCAGTGCCAAAGGAAGAGGCACTGTACATTAAAAAGGCATTACAGACCCTGGCCTGAATGCCGCTTTCCCTGATAACTAGTATATAAACATTAAACTGGAAGTCTGGGTGTCTTAAAGGGGATTCCTTACAATTAATCCAGCAAGTAGAATCTTGTGGTGACAACATACAGAACAGATACAGATCTGATACCAGAGCCTACACTCCCAACAAATGGATTAAGATTTATATCCTTGCAAATTTGCTTAGCCTTCCATTTTAATCTAACATCCTTTTCTTAAAAACTACATTTTACTCTGTTCTCACATCGTCGTACCTCTGTCAACATCCTCTTTCCCAGAGGGTTTCACTAACCACGGCCTACTGAAAGCTGGTGTTCTCAAGCTTCAAGCATGATTTCCATTAGCCAAAGCTAAATCAGAAAATACAAGGCTTAAAGAAAGATTAAAGTATAATTGAAAATTATAATTTCTCCGTTGAAGAACGGAGATTAATCTCTGTCCACAACATCCAAAGAATTCTTTTCATTGTGTCATAATATTTTAAGAACTCAAAAGTCACATAAATAGGTATAAACTGGCAACAGTTAAAGTTGACTAATTGTAATATACTTGTAATAAAAATAATCTTGTGGGACCCCTGGGTGGCTCAGCGGTTGAGCATCTGTCTTTGGCTCAAGGCATGATCCCAGGTCTGGGGATCGAGTCCTGCATCAGGCTTCTTGCATGGAGCCTGCTTCTCCCTCTGCCTCTCTCTGTCTCTGTCTCTCATGAATAAATAAATTCAAAAATAATAATAATCTTGTAATAAATTCCAATGCTAATCTACAAAAGTATCAGATATTGAAAGGATGTTTCTGTTGAAGAAAGCTGACAATTGGTGTTCTCTATCACTTATCTGTAATTTTTGTTCAGTTCTCAAACTTCTATTTTAATATTAGTGATTGTCTCATGTGCAATAAAAATATTTAGTATGGCTTAATAGTGTTTAGCCTTGGGGAAGAAGTCCTCAAGTAGCTTTGTGTGAGTTGGGGTTAATGTTAAGGTAAAGAATTCATTCAGATTTTTAGCTTTCTTACAGCTAAAAGATTGCATATAGCTTATAGTGATTCTCAAATCACTGAGAATGACTTGGGGACCCCAAAGAATTTTTGTTCATATGCATTGTTATATCTATCATCTATCTATCATCTATCTATCTATCTATCTATCTATCTATCTATCTATCTATCATCTATCTATACTGTACCCAAAATGAAAACAGAACATTTAAAAGTATTAAGTATTTTAAAATAACAGTAAGCCCACTACATGCTAATATAAAGGTTTTTATGAAAAAAATAACCAATTTCCAAAATGGAAATTCAGTGATAAGAATGGCACTGTTTTACATTTTTGCAAATCTCTTTAATAGCTCGCTTAAAAGAGAGCTGGGTTATCATATTTTTCCTCTTTTTTAAGATTTTATTTGAGAGAGCACAAGCATGACCATGAGAGAATGGAAGGAGGGGCAGAGGGAATGGGAGAGAGAGAATCTCCAGCAGACACCATGCTGAGTGCAGACCCCCCACAGAGGGCTTGATTTCACAACCCTGGGATCATGACCTGAGCTGAAACTAAGAGCCAGCGCATAACTGACTGAACTACCCAAGTGCTCTGGGTTATCATTTCTACTATATTCATTCAGTATGTTACAACACATTCCCTTCTTATGAAACTATGTGAATGTTAGTTTTTGATAACTAAATGACTAATGGTATCTTGAGCAGCCTATATTAAGGGAAAACTAGTTATGTGACTTTCCCTCATTTAAATATGATAGCACTTTACAGAGAGCTGAAGTAAAAAGATCAAATGAAATGTCTGTAAAAATGCTTTGTAAAGTCCTAAATACTATTATGTAAAGGCCCCCACTGTTCCAATAACACATGTACACACACACACATACACACACATTCCCTTTGCAAAACCTGAAGTTGTATGGAAACAGGATATTTATTTGGGGCAGTTCCACTGAATTTCCATTGCAAAGAATTCAC